CCCCCCCCCCCCCCACCTCAAAATGAGGGGGGGGTGTCTCCAAATCTGGGACAACTTTGGGGGTCCCATCCCTGCGGAGGTTGAGATTGGGGGGGGGGCTGCTGCTTTGGGGCTGTCCCCGGTGTTTTTGGCCACCCTCTCCTCCCCCCCACCCGAAACGGTCCCACCCCCCCCCCCCAAAAAAAACCCGCTGGAACCCCCCCCCCCCCCCCCAAAACGGTCCCCCCCCCCCCCCCCAAAACGGTCCCCCCCCCCCCCCCCAAAACGGTCCCCCCCCCCCCCCCCAAAAAAAACCTGTTGTAACCCCCCCTCCACCTCCCAAAAATTGATTGTAACCCCTCCCCACCCAAAATTTCGGGGTGGGGGCTGTACAAAAGCAATCCCACCCCCTCCCCCACCCCCGGGAGTTGCCGAAATCTGTTCAAAACCAAACGCTCACGTGCAATTTTTAAGGGGTTTTATGAGCTTAGAGCACCAAAGGGGGGGTCAGGGTAAGGCTGGGGGGTGGGGGGGGCAGAATGTGACGACCCCCTCCCCAAATTCCCCCCTCCCACCCCCCCCCTTGGACAAACACTAACCCGTTTTTTTGTAGGAGGCTCCTCGATGGCTCTTTTTGTAACGACTTTTTAAGATAAAACAGAAAAAAAAAAAAAAACCAAAAAAAAAAAAAAAAAGGAAAAAAGGAAAAAAAAAAAAACCTTTTTTTTTTTTTTTTTGTGTGTCTTTGAGGGGAGGGGGTTTATTTATCTTCGCCCCCCCCTCCCCACACACACACTCCCCTAAACGCCCTTTGGGGGCTTTTACCTTCGATTGTATCGTCCTACGTGTTCGGGGAGGGGGGCACTGAATGTTTCACCTTTAGTGCTTTATTATCATTTATTTTTTTGTCCCCCCCCTGGGCTGGAAGGTTTGGAGGTGGGTGGGGGGCGTTTTTTGGGGTGGCTGTGACCCCCCCGACCCCCCCCACCTTTCCCCTGCCTCTCAAAACCCAGCCCCTCGCCCGTGGCCAGCGGCGCACGCTCCCCGTCTTGCACGCCACGTTCCCGTTTGGCAAATGTGTGGAAAATGAGCATTAAAGAGGATCGTTCCCAGTGGATTTTCGTCTCCTGGGGTTGGGTTTTGGGTTGTTTTTTTTTTTGGGGGGGGTCGCGTGGATTTGGGGATGGGGTGGAGAAGAGTGGGGTTGGGCTCAGCCTTTGTTGGGGGGGAGTGTGAGAGGGTGGTTTTTCCATGAGAAAGGGATTTTTTGTTTG